GGGGGGGGGGGAGTGAAAACTGAAATTCGGGAGAAATTTATTCAATCGAGTTATATTATAGCTCCGACGAATTCTCGTTTTGTAATGTTTTGAACTTTGGTCTCTAGTGCAGTTTTTTGAATCTGAGCTAAAATAAAGACTACAGGAATGGTAATTTTCACTGATTTGAAAATCAAAACACTAAGAGGGTTGCAGGGATTGAAATTCTTAACTAGTGAAAACGCTTTTTATAACTGAAAACGGACAAAGCTGCAAAATCGAAATTTTAAGATCTGTTAATTGAAGCATTCGGTAAGATTTTTGCGCCTGCACACATGCAAAAACGCATAAAAACGAATTGTTATCATTGGACTATATTATTTTTAGGCCCAATGAAATTGAATTCCACTCCGCTACGGCGTATAGCACAGGCTTTTGTGATTGCAACCAAGACGAAGATTGATGTATCAGAAGTGAAAGTTCCGGAACACATTGATGACAACTATTTCCGGCGATTTACTTCCAAAAAATCACCAAGAAAAGGAGATGCGAATATTTTTACACAGGGGACAACTGTAAGTCTCTTCTGGAAAAACTTTCTGACTGTTCTTCTTTGCAGTTGTAGTTGTAAGAAAATAACGCAGAGAACAAAAGCTTAGAATTTTTGATGTTTTTAAGACTGCACAGATTTGGTGTCATGGGGAACTCGCAAAAAGCCAGCAAAAGAAGAAGTCACCAAACATAAATGGATAGTGCTTGTAGTGGAAAGACGGACAAGAAGGGGAAGAAGCGTACGGTTTTTTAAAGACAGATACACAGTAGAGGTGCTCCCAACTTGGACCCAAAGTACAACGACCGATGGTGTAGTGGTTAAGCACGTCTTTTCCGGGCATGAGGGCGGATAGTTCAATTCCTCGTGGCTCACACTCATTTGCAAAAGTAGAAATCCGTTCATGACCCACAGGACGCTAACTTTGTGCATATGCTTTCAAAAAGCAGTGATTTGGGTTTCGCAAACGATTCAAGTCACTCGTCGAAGGAAGCTAAAGTATAATAGGCCTTTATTGGGTGAGGCAGTGCTGCGTACCACATAGGCAACGCCTCAAAGAAGTCCCAACAGACAAATTCTTTGTAATTTTTTTTTTTTTTGGAATATTTTGATTGTGATTTGTAACGCAGTTCTACAGATGTAGCAACGAACTTTCTCGTTGTTTTAACCAGTGCTGCATTGCTTAATGATCTTTTTTTTAGCATTCCCAATTCGTTTCAGATCTTTGAAGGGTTACTGCCACAGGAGTAGTAGCGGGGCTTTAGCTGTTTGAGGTATTACTGATGAGTGTTGTGCAGGACGACCTTACCTCGGATGATATCATTCTCAAATTACGATACGGTATATTAGGAATAAATTTATATATTGAGGTAGTAAAATAAGCGGCTGCAAAAGAAAAGTCAGTTTATACCTGTTGGTTGAACTTCTGCGGAATTTCTTAAATAGAGAATAAAAGACAAAGTGTAAGAATGATGTCTGTTTAAGAGAATTTCAACCAAAGATAAAAGAGTGAAAAAAGAAGTAAAATCAAATCCAATATAAATTGAAATGTGTGTAATTACTCCACTTTCGGTATTCCTGTTTCGACCGAGGATATGTAGGGAACCTGTGATTGTGATTGAGCCTCATCAGTATACCAGCACAGCCAATTCATATATTTACGATATATGTCAGCCGTGTCGTATGGTCAGCTAAAGATAAATAAAAATTATTAAAATTTGCAAATCCGCAGAATTCTTAAGATTTTGCCAACTTTCCGGATCGTTTTTTTTTTTTTTTTTTTTTTTTTTAAGTTTTTTTTTTT